GCCCCAGGGGACGCGGCTCGGGTTTGGGGGAGACTTCCGGAGAGCTGCTTGTCCCCCAAATTATGGAGGCGAGGCGGTGAGTAGGGGGCCGCTCACCCCCAGGGTTGGGAGAGCAGGAGAGGGAAATGGCTGCCGGCAAAGCAGGGGGGCTGCGGGGGCAGACCTCCGTGTTCAGTGGGGGACGTGAGGGTGCAGACGTCTCCTCTTCGGCGTCAGTCACGTTTGTTTCTCCGCAGGCGGCAGCTCCTTTCCTGGGAAATCTTTTTCGGCACCCAGATTTCAGTTGTACGGACCCATGTGAGACAGGGGATGCTCTTCCGGGCAGCTGAAGCAAGGAAGAGCAGGTAAATGTCACCCCGGCATTAAAGACCGTATTCTCTCAGACACACCAAAAGCCTTTTGGTGGCCGTTTCCACGTTCGATGAGGAGGAATGTGGGCCTACCGTGAGGGAAAGGTGGATTGAAAAATGAAATAAAAGCAGCAGCCAGGGGCGGGGAGGGATGTAGGTCTTTGCGCGCTGAGCTGTGGGACAGCCCAGGTGGGAAAATGGTGCTGGGGAACAAAAAGCATCGGAGAGGTGCAGGGAGGCGTCTGAGGGAGCAGCAGGCGGCTGGGGGGCACAGGGTGGGACCAGAGATCAGGTCGGAGAGCTTTTTATTCGAACTTGCTTTCTACTGCAGCTGCCAGGCCTCGTGCTGGACCGAAAAAGCTCATTTATGCTCAGCGGGAAGTGTAGAGGGAGCCGCTGTGATAGAGCAAGGGGTTTTGATAGGAAATGGGCATCGGAGCGCGTGAGTAATCGGGAATGGGTGCACGTTAACCGTGAGCCCGTATTTCCCTCCCAGGGCCCAAATCCACGATCCACAGCGGCGACCTTGTGTCTGACAAGTCGTTGGCTCACAAGGGGATTGAGGAGTCATGGAGGAAGACCGTAAAGGATGCAGGTCGTTACCTGATCACAGGTGCATATTAAACAGAGCCACTGGGTGAGTCTTGTATTACATCTGCCACCGCTACAGGAGACGTACAGGTCTAATGCCCACCCGAAAAGAACCCCTTCCCCCAAACCCGCTCTGCCTCTGTGTTTTAAATTCACGCTTTTTCACTTCTCACTGAGACTTTTTAACTGAGGACGGTGGTTTTTTTTTCCTCCCATCACCCTGACACCTTCCCATCTCGATCCCTTCCTAGGACGCTGAGCGTACAGTTACGTTGGACGAACACGTTACCGGTTTCGTTACGACTCGTTTTACGTGCGCACGTACGCCTGATTTAAGAATAACAACTCGAGTTCAAGAGGCTCCCCGCCGTACCGGGGAACGCCGGGGGAGACGTAAACGTCCGACAGCTGCCGGGCCTTCGCGGCGCCCGCGGTCCCTGGGGAGGCAGACGCCGCCGTTCCCGCGGAACGCTTGAATCGTCTTGCAGCACGACAAAACACGTAGTATCATCGTAAGTCAGGTTTACCGGTACTCCCGAACAAACCAACAGGCAAGATGAGCCCGAGCTCAGAGTTTCGAGCAGGAAGGACTTCGATTGGATTTAGAGAATAGTCTTGGACACGGGTTGAGCAGGGAGGGGGGTGGAACCGCAGGAGTCGGGACGTTTCTGGTCAGAAGCACGTCAGCGTGGAATAAACAAGCCCCCTTTAACGAGCGTGCATATAGCAAGAGACAGGATTATAGTTTATTACACGTATCTGGGCAGCTTAGGACCCGGTTACAGCCCTTCTAGGTGGGTGCTGCCCCACGAGTAGGTTTGTAGGCCAGGCCGATCTTTTCCCAACCCGTTTGCAAGGGAACAAGAGTGACGGCAGCCGGAAAAAGCCTCCTCCTTGAATTACTCGGGACGCACAGCAAAAGACGTTAAGAGCGGGACGGCCAACGTTAACCCACGCGGGCGTTTCTTTCAGGCCGGTTGCTGCGGGAAGCGGCTCCGCCCGCCCGCGGCCCGCAGGAGGCGCCGCCATGTTGGGTCTCTCTGGCGCAGGCCCAGCCCGCTGAACGCCTTTTGGCAGGGGGTGTGTGTGTGTGTGTTCAGTTTTGTTCGCAGGGCTGCGGGGATAACCCCGGTTTCGTACCGAGGCCGCCTTTCAGGCCGGTGAAGAACCGGGCTGGAGGCTTTTAATCAGGCCCCGGCAATGTCCCCCT